TTTGACCTTCTAAATTAAAGATTGTGGTTGCATCGGATGCAAGTGATTCGGATATTGGAGCAGTGATGCTATACAAATATGAGGACGGAACAACTAAACCAATAGCTCATGCCTCAAGATCATTAACTTTAGCTGAAAGAAGCTACAGCCTGACAGAAAAGGAAGCATTGGCTATCATATTTGCCATGAACATGTTTCACAAATTCATACATAGTAGAGAATTCATACTACAGACAGATCATCACCCATTATTGTCCTTATTAGAATAAGAAAGGGTGTTCCCACCCATACAGCGAATAGGGGAACTATCCTATTGAATTACAATTATAAAGTGGAATTTCTACCATACACACACACACACACACACACACACACACACACACACACACACACATATATATATATATATATATATATATATATATACAATGCTGTAAGAAAACTTTCCAACATTGGAGGAAATAAAAATTAAGGCAGAAAAAGACGACTTTATAATGAAAATGAAGGAGAAATTAAAATCTAAAGGGCAAATATTATTGGAAATAATGCATTTTCATTAAGTAATAATGTACTTATGTACACAAAGAGAATGGTGATACCAGCATCATTGCAAAGACGTATGTTAAAAGAATTTCACATAGGACATCCAGGAATTTCTAGAATGAACTCCTTAATGAGGTGTTATACTTACTGTCTAAAAATGGATCAAGATATCGAAAATTTAGTGAAAACATTTTTACCAGCCCTCATATTGCAATTTTTGCTGTCATCATTTCATTTTTTTTACCAGAGCTCATATTGCAATTTTCGTTTTTATTATCGCTTTACTCTGACACTCCTTATTACTTGTTCCCATATTGTATTCATTTCTATGCTTGGTCAGCTCAGGAGATTTTTGTGACCTAGCATATGTGCTAAATATGGCAACAAAGATGAGGACAATAGTCCGTATAATGTAAATAGTGCACATAATAAATCATCTCAGAAATATAGACAGATATCTACTAAGTGATTTCACAGAATGCTGATAGATACGATGAAGTAGCAGAGAGTGGTTGCTGCTCAAGAGGTTCTGAAGCTGCGTAGAATGATTAGTGTCTATTCAAAAGGCTCTTAGAGTATAGAAATTCTCGGATGATATCCTGATGAAACGTAACAGAGAAAGCAGCCCGGATATTTCCGCACACATTCAAAATTGAAATATATCGATTGAAAAGAAAGGAGGCTATGTTGATAACGAGATTTGGAAATCTGAATTTTTTTTAATCATTTGCTTATACTTTTTGTATTTTAGGACTGAATTTCTTTAATAGTGAGTTATCATTATTTTCGCTATTTGCATGCTTACCTTTTTTTCTTATCTTTGCTGTTTTTTATATATCAGTAACGTAACAGTCATCGGCGGTGAAAGTAAAATTTGTGAGCCGAGTTTAAATTCCAACCTCGATTTTCGCACTAATAGTTTTGGAAAAGGCAGGAATCCATCTCTTCTGCTCTCAACTTCAATATTTAAATAACAGCATAGACTGGGTTCTAGAGATCAAGGTGGCAGCCAGTCTAAACTGGCTGCTACCAGAAGGAATATTATGAATGCAAAACCTCGGAGAAAACAATATGCAGCCTCTATTATCTTTCCTAATTCACAGATAATAAAAAAAAGAATGTGTAGAGAGCCATGATTGCCTACGTCTTGAAGGCACGTGGCTCTGACAGGAACTGTTATACGTGTTCTATTATCTGCCTATATTTCTGAGATGAGATATTATATACACTATTTACATTGTTCCGACTATCGTCCTCATCTTTGTTGCTATATTTATCACAACGTTTCGGCCGTTCAAGGCACAACACTGTGCCATGTGTCCTCAAAGTGGATAAAAGCGTTAGTAAGATCCAATGACAGGACCCAAAGAGTGTGAGTTCAATATCTGGTTAAGGCAGTGGAGAATTTAGAGAGGGAAATTAACAGGAAGTAACTGATAACTGACATCCATTAAACATGGCACGTGGAACTAGAACAGTCTACCCCAGTGAGCGAAATAAAGTTTTCAGTTCGACATTCCAACCACCTGAAGAAGGCTGGAGCGTACAACAGCCGAAACGTTGTGATAAATATGGTGACAAAGATGAGGACGGTAGTCCGAACAATGTAAGTAGTGTGTTCTATTATTAATTAATAGGAGTAGATAGATTCGCCTATCGTCCAGTCCACACTCCTACCATTCCCCTCTTCCCTACTTAGGATTAGGTTTCCGGTTTATTCTAAAGTCTTCTCATTCTCTTTTACTCCTAGTATCTTAGTGGCATTATCGCCTTGCTTGGGGTGAATAATTAAAAACAAGTTATTAATTATTGTTGTTAATCACTTATTGTACTGGATTTATTGATTAAATATTTCCAAAGGTATGGATGTACAGAAAAAAAACAAAAACACTGAATATAAATTTTGTTACTTGTTTTCCAACAATGTTTGTATCCTCCGCAGATATAATTGAACTGTCCTGTAGCTTCAGTTGTTATGTTGTTAATATTATTAAAAAGATCTTCGATAATTTATGCACTTGATTCTAGTAAATATTTCCATGAGTCCCGTTGGTATTCAATAATATATGACCTGGCCATATTTCTTCTAGTAGATGTTTAGGTGGTCATGGCTCTTCCTTTTTTATTATATATAAATTGAAAAGACTTCTTGAGAAAGATAATGGAGTAGTTTCCTGTTTTTTCTCCACTCTTTTGAATTCAGATTAACACTTCTCGACTGGCTGCTATCCAATGTTAAAGAGTTCAGTCTATCTCAGAGTTGGCACAATTAGGGAGGCAGAGGCGATAGTTTCATTGCTTTTCCCAAAATCATTAGTGTAAAAATGAACGCAAAAGGCTAGTTCGGAATTTGAAATCGGTTTCCATTTACAGCACAAATGACGTTTTCGCTCTCCACACAACATTCACCCTAGCACCAGTTGTTAGCAACGAGAAATTGAAGTCCGATCACAGTGTTTGGATGTCTTAAATATGAAGGCACATCTTGATCTATTTCTCTATCTACGACGATAGGTCAAAATTAATATTTATTCATTAATTACAATAGCTTTAACAGCATTACAAGCACAGAAAGTATAGAAAAATGAACAGAAGATTCCCAGCATTCCAAATACATTCATCAACACAGTCTACTTCCATTTTAATCGATATATTTGAACTTTTCATGGGGACGTATATATTCGAGCATATATATATATACCAGGGTGCGATGGGTAAATTGTTGCCATTTTATCTTTTTAATTTTGTGAGTGCGCGTTGTTTGTTTGTTTTTTTTATTTTTATTTTGCCGACTATACAGTAGGGTCGGGTGGGTACCGTCTGTGAGAGAACGAGCACCATGACGCAATTCACTCTGCCAGAAATTTGGGAACAGCATGCTGTACTGCTTGGCAGCTCCAATAAAAAAAATTGAGGGGTTTGCGATATCAATCTGAGGAGAGTCCAGAGGATTTGGAAAGAGTTGGATGAGTCTAATGGTGATTATGAAGGTACGTCAGCTTTGAAAACTCACTCTAATCGTTCTGATAAGAAAAGAACTCCTGAATTTGTTGGTGACGGCCTCAGCCTCAACAAAGAGGCCTACATCGTACCTTCAGGAGGTAGTGCGACCAGAGAGTGGATGCTGGAAGACCCTATGTCTGGCAACAGGACTCTGCACCATGCCACATAAACAAGAGAACCCAGTCAGACAATTTCTGCGACCACATTACCCATTACATCTTGCCACCTACCCCCCCCTCTCCTTGATTATTTTGTGTGGGATGCAGTTGACCGTGAGATCAACAAAACTCCTTATAACACCAAAGGATTATGGCAGCATTCACCAACTTAAACACTGTCCAGAAGAGTTGCAAGAAATTCCACAGTGGTTGATGCCAATGGCGATTTTATTGAATAAATTTACTCTTTAGTATTTCAAGATATTTTTGTGTAATTTTGGTAAATATATCTGTTAAAATGAGATGCTATTATTTATTTTTTACACCATCTAGACAATTTATCCATCGCATCCTGTACTTTGTTCATGACTGCTTTCTTTACAATGTAAATATTGTCTTTTTCAGCTCGACATCATTAGAATGCAAATGTTTCAGTGTTTCCTTCATAAGTGTTATTCGTATTGTGCAGATCTGGAAGTTCTAGGGTAGCAACTACCATTTGTTTCTTCGTGGAATATATCAACATTTTGGAGATCAACCACGCACAGACTTCCGAGTAGACAACATTAAGCTGCACACATTCCCATGTTTCACCTGAAGGCTTTCATCGAGTTTTGTAATAGCTATTCTTCTGTCATGTGTAATGAAAATATCAGCCCATTATCAGTATTATAACATATACGCCAAAATAATTCCTTCCACAAAGTTCAACTTTATTTTATTTCCGTTGAGAAAGAACAGAAGCATTAGATTTGGAGAAATGGATAAAATTATTATTATTATTATTATTATTATTGGTGTACAAATAATTTCGCCGTTGACTTTAAGTATAAGAAATATACATGGGCAATATTTCTTTACTATATATATATTTATATATAGCACTAGTGTATCCATGAGTCACTGTGTGACGAATTTGGTTGTAATTAAGTTTGTAAAAGTCGCAGAACCGTAACAAAATGGCGCATTTGGATTCTTTTGTTTGGCGCCACGAACAACCAGTTTAAAAATATGTGATGTCAATCGTTTCAAATATGATAAATGTCGTTTCCAATTTTGGAATACGATTACTTGGTCATTGACATTGACTGGAAAGTTTTGATATACAAATAAGATATGAGATAAGTTAAAACTATAAAAGTTGATGGTATCGCAAAGTACTACTGAAAAGCTATGTGTTAATGGTAATAGTATTTTAACCGTAAAACCATGCCGGTCACCATGTTCATCTTTTTATAAACGCTTCTTTAGCCATGCGTAAAAAGAGAACAAGGTTTCTTCTTTTTCTTCGGCTCACAGCCATATCACGTTGAAACACCGGTTCTCATACGATCACTGAAGTCAAGCAACATCGAGCTTGGTCAGTATCTAGATGGGTGACCTCTTAGGAATACTAGGTGCAGTAAACTAAGATGTGCCTGTGGTGTAATGGATAGCAGTTCGAATTAGAAATAAGATAGAAGAGTTCTAATTCCAGTTGTTTTTTTTTTTATATTCAGTTATGCGCAAATACCCTTGGAAAAGATAGGAATTCACCTCTTCTCCCTCCAAGCTATGGGTTTATTAGTAAAACTTTTATCCGTAAATCATTATTATCTTAAAAATACGTACAATCGAAAAATATTCTCTGGCTTTAAATAACATGCAAAAGGTTCATAAACCGTAAAAAACAAATCAATATGTCTTCTTACTATTCCGAGATTCTTTTTTTCTTTTAGGAAATGTTTGGGATTTTTACCTTGAATGTGCAGACGAAGACCTTCAAAAATATATCAAAATACAAGAATACTGAAGTGGAAATCTAAAAAAATGTAGCATATAAATAATAATAATTATTGGAAAAGGTTCTCATTCAAGGGATTGTTGGTAGCAAGAAATACAAAAAGTTATTCTCATAAGTATCACTCAGGAAGGACTTTATCAATATAAAATGTGTGTTGCTCTTACATTATTTCTTGTTTTGTTTTTTACAAACATTTCAGTGGAAAATGTCATGATATCATTTCTTACCTTAGGTCTATGGTTGGAACCCGAAAGGAAATTAATACACAACAAAAATCAAAGAAAATAATGGAAATAGTAGAGGTATTATTAATAATAATAATAATAATAATAATAATAATAATAACAGCAACGTCATTTTTACCCATGTTTTTAACTCTTTAACTTAAACCTTTAGCCTAACACAACTTGGCCAAGATAAACATTTTACCATTACAATAATCTAATACAAACATGGTTTCGGGTTGAAGTATCACTGCCATTAACATATGGCGTCTCAGTAGTATTTTACGATACCATCAAAGTTAAAAGGCAGACGACCTTCTACATTAGCCGATCTAAAACAACCGGGGTCCTTCATTTCATACTGTGACATTTTCATAATGGTGTAATGCTGTAATGTAGCCTCTCTCTGTCTTTTCTATAGATACTTTCATGGTAATTGTTCCAATGAACTTTTCTCTATAAAAACTAAACTTTATGAATTTAAGCGCAGTACTATATTTTACAGTTGATATGGTTAGATGTAACTTCTATTCTATCATTTTCTTCTATCGTACTTCTCGCCTGTGGAACTCTCTTCCGGCTAATTGCTTCCAGTCTACTTTGATCTTCAAAAATTTAAATGAAATGTCCATTGTTACGTTCTGCCTTCTTAATCCTTGGTCTTTTTCCTCATATTTTCTAACACTTAGTCTTGGTGGCTTTATTGCCTTGTTTGGAGTGAAATGGTTAAAGAAAAAGAAAAAAAAGTCGCCCAACCCCAAGTAGGTTAAAGTATTGTTTTGTGAATTTGGTGTCATAGTAATTGTGAGTTCAATCCCTGGGCTGGGTAGAATAAAAACCTGCGATAACTAAGAAGTAGTAAAACGCCATTTATATCTATCTATCTATCTAATTCTGTACTTATCTATTTAATGATGTTTGTTTTAATAGCTTGACAAGTATTAACATTCTTTAGATCACAGTAAATTTACACCACCCAGTTTTATAACCAGTCACTACCGAGCGAGTTTAAACGAACTCAGATGTAATGACGAAACGAACTCACAGGTAACAACGCACATGTCTTACACTTCATTACGACAATGTTTAATTATTTACATGAGACAAAGAACATCTCGCGAGGGTTTATATATTTTCGTTTGCTTCTTTTTTTAACATCAGAAAAAAGGTTTATTTTGCCAGTTTGTAGAGATCTTTAGACTTGGTATAAGGAATTGGAGTGTTTTGATTAGAGAAGAAGTTTGAGATAGAAAAAAAAAGGAGCTTTAACGTCAACAAGAGTTCAAAGGCTTGCATTCGAACTGTGTACAGAATGGGTGGAGAGAAACAAAGCTACTTAAATTTTGGTCAATATAACTATTTTTTAAAAATAACCTGTTGTCCTAATATCCATAGCTACTTTCTTGAGGTTTTTCCATAAATCCTGTTTAGGAAACAATCATTTAGCAATGTTATTCTTTCATCGATAAACAAGCAAAATTTTATCATTTAACCATATCAATGTTGCTTATATGAGAAATGTCAATATATAATATATTTATGATATATAAAAGATTTGCAAATGAATCGTTAGTGTCTTATCTGTTGATTGGTTGATTTTGTTTAGCGTCAAATCTAAATGAACACAATTTTATGGCTTAAACTAAATATATACTATGAATAGGTATTGTTGGTAATTTTACTGTTAATATGTATTGTTGGTATTATTTTATATATAAAAATGTACTTTTATACTTTCATTATGTCTTTGTTTGGGCGTTCACTATTTGCCCATAGCTGGGACCCAAACAGGTGCTACCACCACGGGTCAGGAGGAACCTGGGAACAACAGCAATTAAGAGGTGGTTTGACTATACTCAGACCTCCAATCTCCCGATGCTGTTGGATGTCCTAATACCTGTAAAATGTCACTTAGACTTACTTATTCTGACAAAAGATATAAACATTCATAAACCATTGAGTGAACAAAAGTTGTGAAATATTAATTCTGCATTAAATTCAGATGAGCGATATTAAGTTATACGTTTCAGGAGGCTGTCAATCAAAAGATTTATATGTTATTATAATAGATTATATCTGTGTCTGTGTGTCCTCGCTCAAAATCCTTGAAATATTAATGAAATTAAAATATAAAGTTGGTTGCCTGTCTTTGCTTGTACATTGTTAAAAATAAATAAAGGCGGTTTTATCATTTATAACTACAAGCATATCACTTAAAACTTAAAAAGAAATAATTTGCATACTAAACTTTAAAAAATAAGATTTATAACTATAGTTTATCATTCATTCCCAATCTGTGATTTTTTTTATGAATACGAGTGGGTGGTAATATCTATCCGATTTTAAAACAAATTCTGTTGTTTGTCCAATTGATCAGATTCGGGAAAAGTGGACCAGGCCTTGAACTTTTCTTATCAACCTAGATCAACATCTCTTGATAGTTTATAAAAAATGTTCTGGGAAAAATATACAAAAAATTTGTTCACTACACACCAAATGAATTTTAAGATTCATATTGATATATAATTTAAAAAAAAACAACATATAACCCCATGGAAGGGAGTAAAGCCACTAAGATACAAAGAATTACTGAGTATGAAAGAATAAGAAAAAGGAAAAAGAAAAAGTGAGAACAATAGAAAGTTATCAAGAGCACAGTAGATAACGATAGACATTACATTTGAATTTCTGAAAATTCTGAAAAGGCTGAAAAGCCTGGATCCGGAAGAATTCAACAAGCGAGAAGTACGAGAAAAGAAACTGCTAGCACTGAACTTACGGTTACATCTAACCAATTCAAGTATGAATTGATGAAACCTTGCCGTCAATCGAGTACGACGCTTACATTTATTAAGTATACGTACCATAGAAAAAAGAACATTCGAGCAATTAGCATGAAAGTATTTATAGAAAAGGCACAGGGAAGGTACATAACGGTCGTGTGAAAGTGATTGAATCTGAGACGCCAGGTCAGGACCAATAATATTGCTGTATCTTCTTTGGATTCTTATCAAGAATCTCTAGACACAGATTAGAGGTGGCAGGAATATTCAATGCATGGAAGAATGGAAGACTTATCTTATCTAAGATAGAGAAAAATTGTCTAGCACGATACAGCGAACCAACTTTCTTAGCAACAGGTCTTGCAATGGATTCAACAGGCCTTGCAATGGATCCAACAGGCCTTGTAATGGATTCAACAGGTCTTGCAATGGATCCAACAGGCCTTGCAATAGATTCAACAGGCCTTGCAATAGATTCAACAGGCCTTGCAATGGATCCAACAGGCCTTGCAATAGATTCAACAGGCCTTGCAATGGATTCAACTTGCAATGGATCCAACAGGCTTGCAATAGATTCAACAGGCCTTGCAATGGATTCTTGCAATGGATCCAACAGCAATAGATTCAACTTGCAATAGATTCAACAGGCCTTGCAATGGATCCAACAGGCCTTGCAATAGATTCAACAGGCCTTGCAATAGATTCAACAGGCAATGGATTCAACTTGCAATGGATCCAACAGGCCTTGCAATAGATTCAACAGGCCTTTGGATCCAAATGGATTCAACAGGCCTCGCAATGGATTCAAATGCAATGGATCCAACAGGCCTTGCAATAGATTCAACAGGCCTTGCAATGGATTCAACAGGCCTTGCAATGGATCCAACAGGCCTTGCAATAGATTCAACAGGCCTTGCAATGGATTCAACAGGCCTTGCAATGGATCCAACAGGCCTTGCAATAGATTCAACAGGCCTTGCAATAGATTCAACAGGTCTTGCAATGGATTCAATATAATATTTCCACTTCATGTCATCCCGAGATTCATTTACACAAGTTTGAAACGTAAAATCTTTGGTTAAAAAGCTGATCTAATTTAAATATACAAGCAAAACAAACAAAAGAAAATATGTTTGATTTCTGGTGATGTTTGTTCGACTTAACTTTCTACGCCTAGTTTAATTAATATTTGTTTCATTTTATCAAAATTTGCGTAGGGCCAACTTCATGATAATCCAGAGGCACTCACACTAACCATTCTAAGAAAGATTTGATGCCATACTTCAACCGCAAACATGTAGGTAATAAGGTACCTCATACACTTACCCAGGAATCGAGATAAATTCTACTGAGATGGATGTAATAATTCGCACAGCTAAAGACTGAGCCGCCTTGAATAAAATGGATGCAACCTGGAAATTTGATCTACCACACAATCTCAAGCAAAGAGGTGGTGTTAATATATGGTGCCACTGCCTGGTCTCAAGCGAAGAGGTGGTGTTAATGTATGGTGCCACTGCCTGGAGATTAACTAAAATCCTACACTCGAAACTACATTCGGATGTTGAGAGCTATATTTAACATCTCTTGGAGACAACATCCAACTAAATCACAT